TTGGCTGCCCTGGGCAACTATTTCCCCGAGCGGCGCCCGGGAGCGTCTCGGCAGGTCTCCCCGCAATGATCAGAGAGAGATTCAGCGGCTTCCAGCCGCTGATCTCTCCTCCCATCACTGGACCCGGAAGTGATGTGTATTTCAGCCAGCAGATGAAGCTGCTTCCTCAGCTTCTTTGGGTTCCCTAGGTGACAAATTAAGGGTCTGAAAGACCCCTGATGTCTCCATAAAGAGTACCTGCCACGCCCTATCTCCTATTACATAGTGTGCTTGTTAGCTCCCTATGTAATAACAATAGGGTTAGTGTAAAAAAAAAAAAAGTGTTTAAAAATTATGAAAATGAAAGTAACATATAAGAAAAATGAAAAGATGCAAAAAAAAATGTTTTAAGTTCCCTGCCCCCCACGTGCACGCACATACACATGCAAACACGCGTCGGTGCGCCTGCGTGTGCAAAAACGACAATTGCGCTACACATGTTACATATCGCGGCGAACGTCGGAGTGAGAGCAATCATTCTAGGGCCAGCAATCACTGTTCACACTAAACTGATGAGTGGTAAAAGCGTTTAAAATGTTCCCTAAGGAGAATTTGGGGTATTGACTTTTTTTGCGGGTTCACAGGCGAACGCAATTTTAAGGCTTGACATGTTTGGTATTATATTATGTTTCTGTGCACTAAATTTTAATTTAGTTTATTTTTTCCTAAAAATAATGGTTTGATAAACATTTGCGCAAAAACTGTGCAACATAAATTGCAACTGGCATTTTGTTATTCTACAGGGCCTCAGCTTTCAGAACATATATCATTGTTTGGGGGTCTGAAGCTGTTTTCTAGCCAAAATTTATATTTTGTCATGTGTGCGCAAATATTACGAAAATGCTCTGGACAGCAAAAACAAAGTCCAAATTTTAAACAGGATCAACTTCATTACATAAAGTACAGTAGAAGATGTTAAGGCTTTTAATAATAAAACACAGAACATGTTACCATGCAATTAATATTATATAATAATTATTTTATATTCACGTTTTTAATCTTGTTTTTATTTTCAAGCCTCCAACATTTTGTATAGCTTCAAAGAGCGCCGCAGAAATAGCATCAATCGCAATTTTGTGGGAGACTACTTGGGCATGGAGGATAAGCCAGAGCTTCGCCAGTTTTTGGGCAAGCGGGAAAGAATAGATTTTGCCGACTCCATCAACAAATATGACCGGCGATTTAAGGTGAGAACATAACTATTGGTAACTTGATCATGCAAGGTACATAGAGTTACTACTACTGTATCCAGTACAAAACATTGTGGTCCATAGTTCTGTATGAGCTATGATTCCAGCATCTCTTAACATACATGGGTCATTCCTTCACTCTCAGTGGCTGAACACAGGGAAGATTTTCTCTTTGTAGGCAAACCAAAGTTTCTGAAACAAAAAACTGAACAGAAAAGAAATGGATGCTTACCAAGCACCCACAAAGACTTGGAGGCCTACCTCAACCCATTTAAAAATTAGCAGTTAAAACTTTTATGGAAAGTAAGTCACTGATATTAGATACCTACCTCTAGTTTGGGACATGTAATAGTCAACATGGACCAACCATCACACGTTCCATATATATGCTGTATAATCATCCCAAAACTCAACATATTACTGTTAGCTTGAGAGTAACTTGTATAACACGTAGCACTTTGCAAAACTATATTTCTTATATATCTTAGTCATTTATACAGGGCTGCAATATAACACTGGTCCTGGAAGGCCTGGAGCAGTATACAAAGTGTAGGTTAACCTTTTGGAGCACATTGGAGGTTGCTAAACACAAAACTATTTAATAAAAAGTTTCAGTCCAGCCAAACATCATATTAAAAAGGCTATCAGCAGTGGATTACATAAAACTCAAATGAAAGCAAATCTAAAGCGAAATCTATATTTTAGACTTTGATAGAGTAGTAATAGGGCTGGAATCCCTGTCAGATTTGTACTGTTGTCTTTGTCCAACTAGGTAGATTCATTCTCTCCATTTGTCCAGTTTTGGCTCTAGATGAACTTTAAAGGTAATGGAATGGATTTCTAACTTGAACACTCCTGAAACGTTTTCTACACATCATTAAAATATATCCAAAGCCCAAACTTGTTTTTTAGTTTTGAATAGAGAAGGGTTAAAAATCCCACCTAGCCTTTTTTGTTTTGCGTTGTTCCATTAAGAAGGTTTATATTGTCTTTATCTTTCCTGTAGACAGAACAGGATGTGAGAGGAATCCCCCTAAATCAAGGGGAAGCTATAGACAGTTGACATTGGAACACATGTCCCTAGACATGTGCGATTCGTTTCGTTCCGAATTTAAATTGGGACGAAATTTCGGAAATTTGGAGATTCGGATGTAATGGAATTACATGTATAACCAATGCAAACAAATCCGAATTTCCGATTCGCTTTTTGGACGAACTTTCGTTTTTTGGACGAAATTTCGTTGCAGCAAAGTGACATTTGAGAACAAAAAAAAACATTTTTTTCCCTCTTAAATGTCGCTTTGCTGCAACGAACGAAACGAAACGAAAATTCATACAGATTTCCGCTAACGAATTTCGTCCGAATCCGAATTTCGAAACGGATTGACTTTCGGACCCGAATTCCGAAAAACGAAATAAAGCAAAATCCGAATCAAAATGAAACGAAACTAAACAAATTTTTTGCTGGTGCACATGTCTACATGTCCCTATTGGAACATTTTCCCTCTTTTCCTGTTCTTAAATTTTGGATTTTCCCCTACTTTCAGTCTTGGTGACAAAGTACACCAGAACAAATAGAAAGTGTGATCTCCCTAGCAGGGATACAGACAACATTAAAAACCTGACAGAACTTTTTCCCTTTCCCTTCTCTATACAAAATGAAAAATAATCTGCCTAATGATGACTTGGCATACCTATAAGGTTATGCACTACATCCACATTATAATAAGTGATCACCCACTGGCCCATTCACCTGGGGCACCTGCAGTATAACAAAGATGGGAAACTAAAAGGCCCAAGGGACCACTTTAATAGCTCATGGTATGGCTCAATTATCTATTTCAGTAAGATGGCAACTGAGAAGGACAAACTTGTAACTAAAACATTTGTTTTCTCTTGTCAGTCCATAAAGAGAGATCTTATCCTCACTCCCAAATACCTTTACCTAATTGGACGTGAAAAAGTCAAGAAGGGACCGGAGAAAGGACAGATCAAAGAGGTTCTGAAGAAGAAACTGGAAATAGAGTCTGTTAAACGCATTTCTCTAAGGTAAACACATTTTCATTTGTGTTGCATGCACATGCCTAATGCCTAATCCAAACCCAAATCACTACTTTAGCTGATGCTAATTAAAGGAATTTTCCAGGCAAAATGAAAGTGTATGTCATTAATGCAGAACGTTGTAACGAGTCCCGGCGACGTAGCGTCACACCGCCCTCTCTCTCTACACAGACGGCAGCTTTGCGTTCCACGGTGGAACGCGGAAGCCGCTCGACTTCCTGATTGCAGGGCGAGCGGCCTGCGTTCCACGGTGGAACGCGGAAGCCGGTCATTCCGGCCGGCGGCTCCTCCTGCTTCCTGGGGGTATTTAAGGGCTCAGCTGAGGCAACATGGCGTCACACAATTGGGTTCAGAAGCGCCTGTTGCCTCCTGAAGCCTAAGACCCATCTCCCCATGACTGCCAGTGACGGATCGCTCCTCTTCCAGCCTCAGGACTCCCTGCAACCTCTAGACAGTCCAAAAAGTACTACTCCTACTGGAGTCCTAAAACCTTGATACTGGGATCAACATCTTAAAGTGATATAGACTGTATCTAAGACTACTATCAATTGTCTGTTGGGGTTTCTCCTTCCATCAATATCTGTGTATCAGAAGCCATCGTTCCTTGTTGCCAATACGTATTCAAGTTTTGTGGTTACTTTAGGACTATAGGCTATGAAGTAATAGCCAAATACCTCTCTTCCTTTCTCTCAGTTATAAGGCTATGATGCAAGAATCTCTAACTCCCCGCTAAAGATTGGGAGAGACGCCTGAGATTCAAGCCTGAGAGGCCTTAACCTCATACATCCCTAAGTATATATCTTCCGCAGTTGAGATCCAAGCAGTTACTCTCACAGCAGGCGCGACAAACGTTTGGTGTGTGATACCCCTTATTGGCTAACTTAAGCTATAATAAAGATGCAAGCTTGCAAGATGCCTTAGATACATTCTTCAGGCTTTATACAGTTCGATACCAATACAGAATCCAGTTATTTTTTATACAGTTATTGATACCTATGAAAAACAACGAAACTCCCCTATTTGGGTATGTTTCTCACCAACTCCTACATGACAAACTATGAAGCCTTGAATAACTACTCTCTTTCCTGGCTGGGTGGAATTGCTGCTAAAAAACAATAAAAGTGACATAACTCCCCAAGCTGTTCTATCTATTCCAAGTACTACCCATTCAAGTTGCATCTCATATCATTAGACTCTTCAAAGCTAAAGTATTACATTTTTCTTAGTATAACTGTAAACTGAGGCTTGTAAAGATACTATGTTCCAAATTAGGGCAAGTGGCTGCCTCAGTGTACCAGATCTTCTTTGTTACTACCAGTTGACACAACTTACTGTTGTTCCACCCATGGAAAAGAAGTTCACTACCCAATTTCATAACTTGCCACTCTCTCTGAATCTGGGACGATATTAAATAATCCAGCGGTTATTTCTCCAAAGTTAAGCCTTCTGTCCATCTTTAGGAACCCATTATTTCCTCTGGGATATGGTGTGCAGCTCTGTGCTGCTGTGACAGTGGGAGAGAGAGTGTACTTTGCATGTACGGGTTTGTGAATGAGCAATACAGCAGCTCCACACTTGTTCCTGTGATGAAGGGGTCATGCTCAATGTGCCATCTATACCAGCTTATATGCAGGATTTCCCCAATCAAGGAGAATGCCATTTTTTTGGCCAAGCTTTGCAGAAGCCACAGTTGGCCTATAGGTTTGTCCTTTAAAGGAAGCACCATGCTTTTTTATTTTAATAAATGTTTATTAGATTTAAATAATTGTAAACAATACACACATAAGAAGCATACTTAAAAAAAGTCAATATAACATGCAGTGGAAGTAGTTGGGTACCAATGACACATAGGTAAAAAGAAAAGAATAATAACAAATGTTACTCAGCATCATCATAGTGCGAGAATAACCTTAAAGTGACACTAAACTCAGGAGTTCAATTTTTCAAAATCCATTCAAGTACCCTGTTAACAAAAAAGTAGTATATTTGTGCATCACTCAGTTGTAGATGCTCAAATCATCTCTGATTTTGTTGTGACCCTGTCCTTCCTTCTGGAAGGTGGCTACTTTTGCTTCCAATAGTCCCTATGTGTGGTGGAAAGTAGCCAGCCCTCCAAGATTGCTCCCGTGATGGACTACAATCTCACGTTTAGTTGACTAATTTGTATTGAAATTATAGTCTATAGTCACAGGAGCGAACTTGGAGAGGTGGCTACTTTACAACACACAGGGACCATAAGGAACAAAAGTAGCTATCCTCAGAGAGACCCACACCCAAGCCCAAGGCTGATCCTGATGACAGATGAAGGGGGTTGCCTGGTGTATGGGCTATGTCTCCCCCCGCCCTGGTTCTACTGTACTCAGTTTGAAATGACTGCGAATCCGCAGGACAGGCCTCTTCTCCACCTGCTTCGTCCTCCCTCTCATTTTCCTTCTTGGCTGTTGGTGAAGAGGGGGGAAAGGTACTAGTACAAAAGGTGATATGATCTAAAGAAGATCAAATCAAAGACAGTTAATAAGGGTCGGAATGCCTGCTGTGATACAAAAATATAGGTAGACCCAAGTGACCACTACCTGAAACCCAGTTAAAAAATGGTTGATCCAACCAACAACGCATTAGCTTCATACATGCATTCACGGACAAGCTGATAAGTATATATATTTAGGCTGGTGGAGCTCTTTATATTCAGTGTTGAGCTGACAGCGCTGGAAAACAATGTTGCGATCACCACTGTAGTAGATACAAGGTATAGCTGCTAAAGTCAATAGACCCCTCCACGGGATGTTGAATTCTTTGTGTCCCAATGAACCAGTGCAACTGGTAACAAGTAATTTATTTTATGGCCCCAGCTATGATGTAGTACAATAAGTAATAAACAAATGTCCTCATCCGGTGTTGACTTGTATTGTACGGTGTATACTAGATTAGAATACAGTCTCGCACAGTTTATAACTGGATATCTCCTGGGGTATGGCCTCACATAGGGAAATCTCCAGAGATGTAATAGAAAAATCCAGTATGGGAGTACTCACATGTGCTGTTTTTTCGAGCCGATTTCCTTGGGCTGCTAAATAAATCCGGATTATGCCGCTTTACATAGCCGGTGATTGGTAAGATGATGTAAAGATGTCTTTACTTCTTTACTTTGACGTTCCAATAGACCATAGAGTTTTTTTCTGTGCGGTTACAGGCAGATTTTAACGAGTTCCAGTGTGATCGCAGTCAGCGCCATTAACTTTCTTGCAACGGGATTACCTGACATGCAGGTGAGATCTCAGCTAAGCGTCCACTGCCATGATGCGTTTCACCCCGCCTACTTTCCCAGGGCTTCGTCAGAATCTGGCAAGGGGCGTTCTCACAGATTTTTTTATTGTTGAACTCTCATGATATAGATTTTCTTAACCCCTGGAATGCTGAGGTGAACCGAGTGGTAATACATTCATACAGTGAAATAAAAAAACGAATTGTACATTAGAAGGGTGATTTAAGGAAGCACATATCTCAATTAGCAGATATAGGTATACAATTGACAACAAGTCTGAGGTATTAATAAATTCTTATCACATACACGTCGCAATATCGCAGTAGTCACCCATTCCAGAAGGGAACCTTTATATAGAATCAATTTACTTGTTTATAGTAAACCATAAATTATGTTTTTCATTCTAGTTTTAAAAGGGGAGATTTTTTAGTTGTTCAATGAATGATATAAAAACACTCAAGGCGCATAGGGAACACTCTTTTTACTTTATATTAAAGGGATAACCATTACAGAAAAACTTGTAGGTTGCACTTATTATTAAGACCATATGGGGCCATTGTGTTTAATTTGTATATCCACATTTTCTCCTTTTGGAGAAGTACAGTATTGTAGTCCCCTCTACGTGCTGGTAGGTTGAGTACATAAATTCCCCTGATTTATACCTGTTGTTAATCCCTTATGGTATTTAGTAAAATGCTGTGCAAGGGGACTTTCTTTATCTTTGTTCTTTATGTCCCTGAGCTGTTCCCCAATTCTCACTCGAAGTTCTCGCTTGGTTTTTCCAATATAGAATTTTTTGCATGGACATTCGATTAGGTATATAACAGATCTGACATTTCCACATGCAAACATTCCCTTGGGTTTACCACTTTTGGACAGCCAGGTCTCCTGGGTACTAGGTCTAAACTCAGAGGTGACTAATTGGTCTTGTAGGTTTCGCGCTCTCCGTGCTGTCATTAGGGGGTAGGGGCCCACTATATTTCGAAGTATGGGGCATAATTGCAAGACATTCCAGTGTTTATTTAAGGTGTGTTTCAGTGTATTCCACCCAGATCCATATTGGGTTATCATGCGGACTCTCTGGTCAGATCTGTCCTTTTTTGTTCCCATAAGTATCTCCTCTCTTGTTCGTCTATTGGCAATGGGTAAGCGTGGCCACAGGTTAGGAGAAGGTAAGATGAGGCTGTAGCGAGGACGGGGAGGAGTAGGAGTCGGGACCAATCCCTGGGAGAGGCGGGGACAGTGCAGGGAAGGAGGGCAGGTCTCAGGCAGCACGGGTAATGATGTCGGGAATGCGGAATAGGGCGGCGCACACTCTGCCCCGCTCAGCTCCCCTCACCCGTCTTTCAGGTCAAGTCTGTCTTCCCAGGTCGCAGGCCGGGAGGACTGTAAAAAAACATAAATTTATATATGTGGCGGGCGCCTGTAGGCAGATACCTACATTGCCTGATGGGAAATCCAGCACTGGCCACCCTCCATAAGGAAGGACAGTGTCAGCACCAATTTAGAGATGATTTGAGGCTCTACAGCCGAGTGATAAATGTTTTATAACATAACGTAGGGAAACTTTTTTGTTTTTTTCTACATTTATGGTACTTTTTTTATTATATAGTTTTAAAAAAATACCCCCCTCCCCCCTCAGTTGTGATTATATACCTCCAAAAGAAAGCTCTATCTGCCCCCAAACTTTTTTAACATAAATTGCAAGGCTATAGTCCGGTCATGC